AATGGCATTGGGCCACCTCAAGGGAACCCTCAACACATAGTTCCCCACTACTACGTCATAACCCAACATATCTAGAAGAGATGGATGGTTGACTGACTGACTGACTGACTGCATTTCTGCCCCAGCTTTTCTCCAATGAGGTTTCTCCTCCACTTCATCTTCATAAGATTACCTAGTGTGCTTTATGGCTCACTTGGCCAGTCCCAGTCTACCTCCCTTATTGCCTGCCACACCGCACAGTAGAAACAAAAACAAAAAACAAAAACAAATACATACCAACATAGTTTTCAACATCGCTAACATAGAACGTTGGTGCAGGTACAGATAAACCCAAGCCATCCTTCTTTGGAACAAGAACAGGCTCTGTGAATCCATTTTCTTCCATGTACTCCACGGTCAGTTGGCTGCCAGTCACTTTTACCACCACGTCTTCAGCACTAAAGGTCAAAAACAAATTTGTTTTCTAGTTACAAACTGATTTCATGCCAAAGTCAGTCTGTGGGTCACCCCCCCTTTCAATTGAGGAAATGGCAAGTACTGTTCTCTGTATTAAGACACCATTGACATGTGATACTTTGTAACCCTTGCTTTATTTAATCAGGTCAGAGGATCATAAGGAACTTCAAAACAATGTATTTAATTTCTGCTACATGCAGATTAATAGCCAACTTGTACTAATGTCACCAGAGTTCACCATATCCTGTTTTGGAATACATGTTTCTACAGCTCATATTGCTTTGGTGCCTTATAACTCAATCACCATCTCTCTGAAGAATTCTTACCCAATTCAGAATCTGAACCGAGCTTCTAAGTTCTGGGACAGCTATTTCCCAGGCTGCCTGAGCACCCACTAGGGCTGTCAGTTGCCCTACAAACTACATGCTCCATGGGTCTCTGCACTTAGGATGCTGTCATCAACATGTTCTGCAACATCCCAGGAATAAGAGACCACAAGGCATATGATCTGCAAGGTGCTTGAAAAATCAACTAATCAAGTACCCTTGAAATTAGGTACCCAGGGTCTCTGGCAAAGGAACAGAGCAGTTTGCAGTCTTCTCAATGGTGGCCTTATAAAGACACTGTTCATTTACTGCCATGGCTGCTGCTGGTCCCCATCATTGAAATTGCAGGTGAACAGGCAGTGGGGTGTGGATTTGTGGCTGGCGGGGGGCTCATGCAAGAAAACATTCCATTCACATTGCCTCCCCAGTGGCTGCACAACCAGAAGTTCTCAATTCTGAATATTGTAAAGAGAAACAACAAAAACAAACAAAGAGCCGTCTTCTGATTTTTATGAAATAGCACTTCCGTAAGTTCCATCCCATTCCAAAATGAACAGAGTGCACTAGTATTGAGATCACCACCTAGGGGATACCAGAGCTTAATTAAGGCAATTTATTCAAAGTCTAGGAAAATGCTGATTGTGGTGGACAATCTGCCCCTACCCTTTTCAGCACATATAACTATCTAGTGTGTCCATAGCAAAGATCTATTGTTGGCCACATTTAAGATTCATTGAAATCAATGCGATAAATCAAATGACATAAATTGTCCATTGATTTCAGTAAAATGTAGGTGCCATTTCTCTCGTTTACACCACTGGAAAGCAAGTATCAGGAAATTGAATTGTGTTTTGTATAACAGAGTACAGTGTTGATGAAACTTACAATTTCCTAAGCTTTATATCTTTTTAAAAAGTGAAACAGAAATGCACCCTCTACTCACCTCTTACAATAGTCAGCATTTAGCTTTTGTTGTTTATTCAATGCTTTCTTAATTTTTATTAAGCCAAACTGAGTTTCTACTTCATTAGAATTTACCCATTGATTTAGAAAGAGAAGCTAATTGTTTCACAACATAAGCAATTCTTAAACATTAACACTGATTACTGCACAGAGTACAAGGTTAACAAATCCTGTGCATTATTTTTGTAACGAATTAGGCCATGTTTGTAAGCTTGTTTTTAAAAGCACTTCTTTAAATGATACCCAGGCAGCCATTCACATGTACCGTATTTTTCCGTTTATAAGATGACCTAAAGTCTAAGATGACACCCCCCCTTTTCTAATCCCGAATATGAAAAAGCAGAGATCAAAGAGCTCACTTTTTGCTAAGCACCCTGCCTTGGCAAAAGGCAAGGAAAGTGGCTGTCAAAGTGATTGCCACTTTTTCTTGTCTTTTGAGAAGGCACAGAATTTAGCAAAAAGGAAGGGAGCAACACCTCCCCTTCCTTTTTGCTAAGCCCTGTGCCTTTGCAAAAGGCAGTGGTAAAGACCTGCCTTAAATGTATAAAATGACCCTCCATTTTTCTCAAATTATTTAAGGAAAAGGTGTCATTTTATACACAGAGAAATATGATATTTTGTAGGCAAATGTTCATGCATAAGAACAACAAAATCATTTCAAGAACATGTATGTTATTGGATTAGACAATTGTTTTCAAACAGATTATTTTACACAAATTTGTCCTTCACAAAACCCCACTATCAAATTTTTCAAGGGCTGCAATTTTAGAACAACAGATTGTTTTTGTTGTTTAGTCATTAAGTTATGTAAAGTCTAAGATGACACTCCCCCCTTTTCTAATCCCAAATTTGAAAAAGCAGAGATCAAATAGCTCCCTTTTTGCTAAGCACCCTGCCTTGGCAAAAGGCAAGGAAAGCGGCTGTCAAAGTGATTGCCACTTTTTCTTGTCTTTTGAGAAAGCACGGAATTTAGCAAAAAGGAAGGGAGCAACACCTCCCCTTCCTTTTTGCTAAGCCCTGTGCCTTTGCAAAAGGCAGTGGTAAAGACCTGCCTTCCATGTATAAAATGACCCTCCATTTTTCTCAAATTATTTAAGGAAAAGGTGTCATTTTATACACAGAGAAATATGGTATTTTGTAGGCAAATGTAGATGCATAAGAACAACAAAATCATTTTAAGAACATGTATGTTATTGGATTAGATAATTGTTTTCAAACAGATTATTTTACATAAATTTGTCCTTCACAAAACCCCGCTATCAAATTTTTCAAGGGTTGCAATTTTAGAACAACAGATTTTGTTGTTGTTTAGTCGTTAAGTTATGTCCAACTCTTCGTGACCCCATGGACCAGAGCATGCCAGGCCCTCCTGTCTTCCATTGCCTCCCAGAGTTTGGTCAAATTCATATTGGTTGCTTCGGTGACACTGTCCAACCATCTCATCCCCTGTTGTCCCCTTGTCTTGCCTTCACACTTTCCCAACATCAGGGGCTTTTCCAGAGAGTCTTCTCTTCTCATGAGATGGCCAAAGTATTGGAGCCTCAGCTTCAGGATCTGTCCTTCCAGTGAGCACTCAGGGTTGAGTTCCTTTAGAATGGATAGGTTTATTCTCCTTGCAGTCTAGAGGACTCTCAAGAGTCTCCTCGAGCACCACAATTCAAAAGCATCAATTCTTTGGTGGTCAGCCTTCTTTATGGTCCAGCTCTCACTTCCATACATTGCTACTGGAAAAAAACATAGCTTTGACTATGCGGACCTTTGTCGGCAAGGTGATGTCTCTGCTTTTTAAGATGCTGTCTAGGTTTGTCATCACTTTCATCCCAAGAAGCAGGTGTGTTTTAATTTCATGGCTGCTGTCACCATCTGCAGTGATCATGAAGGCAAAGAAAGTAAAATCTTTCACTGCCTCCATATCTTCTCCTTCTATTTGCCAGGAGGTGATGGGACCAGTGGCCATGATCTCTTTTTTTTATGTCGAGCTTCAGACCATTTTTTGAACTTCCATTTTTTCCCCTTCACAGATTGCTGCCTAGTCATGGTGAAGGGGCCTGAATAATTCAGAGAAGTTGTGGGCTATGTCTTGCAGGGACACCAAAGACAGACAGGTCATAGTGGAGAGTTCTGACTAAATGCGATCCACCTGGAGCAGGAACTGGCAACCCCCACCAGTATCTTTGCCAATAAAACTCCATTAACAGAAACAAAAAACTAAAAGAATAACAGATACTATGTACTAAAAAAAGGTTAAAAATTATGAATATGATCACTCACTGTGGAGTAAGAAAGCATTACATGCATGTTAAATATTATGTAAAACATTATGTGAGTGAAAAAACATAATTGAGTGGTTTCCAAACAAACCTTAGCCAAAGATCATGCTTTATATACAACATTTTGTCCATGGTCCAGCCTTTCTAACTTGTATGTTTCTTTGTTTTTGGTATATTTTGTTCTTTTTGTTTTTGAAGGAACAGGCACCTAACGATAAACAAATGCACAGTTCACAATCAAATCCATGAACAATGCCAAATGATCTTGGAACTTGTTCTTGAATTTATAGAGAGAGATTATTTATTGGATATTTATGTATGGGTTAGATGTAAGGGTCTACTCCTAACTACATGCTTGTGTGTTAACTTGAAAATATGTGAAACCAGGTTTTTAGAAACAGGACTGGATAAATGTAGCCCAGTGCATCTGAGATTCTGCAAGTCCAAACATCAGTGGATCTATGCTGCACCTGGGAAAACTATATATCCAAATAATCTGGACGTGCTATTTTCTAAACAGGGACATCATACAGTATTCAAGACTGTCTTAGGTCATATACAATACGATTACCCTTTCAGGAGAAAGGAGGTGTGACTGCAAAAACAATAGGTTCCCACATATGTGTGGGCAAGCCAACAAAAACTTTCCAGGATAATACACTACTGCCCTCTTCTGTGTTTTCTTTTGTATTACATCTTAATTAGAGAGCACCAATGCCTTGTGGCAGCAAGGTGGGGGGAGAGCAATGACAGGCCAAATGAAAGTTAAAGAGAGAGAAAAAAAAAAACATGCCATGTTGAAATAGAACAGAACCCTCCACAATAGACCATTGCAAGCAGATGCAAAATTCCAGACAAGGAACAGAGATTCCTTCAGAGGAGGTTCCTCTTAACTGTCTAACAATACTGAAGAATCTCCAGAAGAACACAGAGAAAAGCTGTATCATTCATCTCTCTGTTGTAAAGCTGCTTTGCCACCGATTTCACTCAAGGAGGGTAAACAAGATGAAATAATAACATCTTGACAAGACGAAGTTGATGCTGGTCAGTAAAAAGTCCAGCTTGTGGATTGGGATACAGCTTCGCCTGGTTCATAACCTTGCCAATTGATGCTGTGTTGTCTATGGACTTTCAGACAGAAGCAGCAGCAGAGTTGCAGAACATCCACTTAGTACACCAGCTGCAACCTTTCCTGTAGACATGCCTTTGTAGCAGCCATGCATGCCTTAGTTACGTTACATCCTGGTCACTGCAAGGTTCTCTGTGTGAATCTGGGATCTCCAGTTGATACCATATGAGGCAGGTGGATGGTATTGAGATCATATAACCCAGCTGCTTGAAGACCTGCAATTCATGGCCAAACACTTTCTGGGTACAACTGTGAGCTGAGAGGCAGCTAGACAAGCAAAGCGCTATGCACTTTTCCCTTCAGTTTTTCATACTAACAACACTTGCACACTAACTTCCTATGGTATCCCTTCTTTGATTGGCTTGACAAACCCAAAATGTCCCTATAGGAACACAAGGGCCTCATCCTGCATGGCCAAGATAGACAAATAGTGAAGTTCAACATGATTAAGGGGCAGATGTGCCACAAGGGTACAGTTACAGTATACATACTGTACAGTATGGTATGATACACACATGTAACTCAGAACTAAAATCAGCAAACAAGAAAACTAAGACATGATTTTAGTCATGGATGCTTTCACAAATTTATTTAGTCTACAATGGCCATCTTTCTTTCAATTAACTTTTAACCAAGAATCTAGAAGTTGTGGCTTACCGCACTTTTGCAAGCTGACCTTTCTTTTGTACTTGAGTCTTTTTCAAATCTTTATTTGTTGTGATCCTGATAAAATGCCATTGTAGCGCCCACTGTAGGCTTGTAAAACACTGCTGCTGAGACTTTCTCGGGGACTACTGTGTCTTTCATGAACAGTTCCCTCCTTGTGACTAGTGTCTTTAATTGTTTCCTCTTCAGCTCACAGTAATGATAAGAAGCCACTGGCTTGGCCCTTAAGCAGCTTTTGTTCACTGCAAGATGAGACTTTAAATACTAGCTTATTTTCCCCTCCTTTTTTTATGAAGGAGAGCAAGTTCTTCCATCACTAGTGCGAGTGTTCATCAGAGACAGAAGATGCAAGAGGAAAAATCCCAATTAAAGTTGCAAGAGACCTTTATTAAACAGTAACTTCTTGAAAGCAAACATTACAGAAGTATGAATTACTGGATAATTATTTTACGTTAGCTATAAAAATATCTTCATTACAGATATGAGCATTGTTAAATAACGTTATTAAGCATTATATTAAGTGGAACCTCTCTGAGGGCTCCATTGGTAGCAGGCTACATCTAGCTTTATAAAAAGAACAAACCACCAATGTAGTGCTCCTTCTAGTTCACTACAGAAAAGCAAACATGATTCAAAATGTGACACAAAGCAGGGTGCAAAATGTGCTTTTATCTTTAAATAGGAACAATTCACCATTTTAGTGTTTCTTATGGTTCACTGTGAAATTTGTCAGCAAGCAAAGACCAAAATCTGATGAGGGCTTCTATATTTTATTGTGTCCCTGGAGAAAATCAGGCACAGAGCAATTAGTCTAAGGTCTGTGGTATTACTGCCTACATAAACCACAAGGAAAACCTTCCTAGGGACATTTCCCCCCTTTTTTTACACCATAGTCTAAATCCAAAACCAGTATTGTCATAACTGAATATCCTACCTGGGGAATGTTCGACTTCGAAGTTCCTTAATGAAAACTTGACTTCCATTTTGTACTGGCTTGACCTCCGTAGTTTGACCAGGGTCATGTTTATGCCAATTTCTTTTCTTTTTTACTGCAAGAGAAATCATTGTATAAGATTATTTGTAATAATGGAAGGAAGGGGACAGCAATCAGTGGGGACCTTACCTAATAATGCGTTTGACAATAATCTTTCAAGAGATATCATATGATAACAAATTTAGCAAAGAAGGATAAGATACATTCATGTCCCACTGAAAAATCTAGTAAGCATTTTTTAAATTTATCTTTAGAAATTAAATACTGCTGGTTATATATAGCACAATAACTCTGTCCATTTAGTAACATTAAGAGTAGCCAGCCATATAATTAACTACCAAGCTATACAGGTTTCCTTAAGCCATAGGTAAACCCCTGGATAAAGATTCATGTTCCCCATGTTAAACACAATCTCTGTTGCAAGGCTAGCACTTCAAATTTCAGTGTAGTACAGTGGGGATTCATGTTCGTTAAACACTTAATCTCTGTTGCAAGGCTAGCACTTCAAATTTCAGTGTAGTATTTCAGTGCAGAATGTTATTAATAAGACACAGAACAATGACTGATCCAACTCAAAATAAAATCATTTTGCAATCATGGAGCAGATCAATCTCAAGGTAAAGTGGGCTTATTCGGGGTAAATCACAGAAATGTCTGAATTGAAGTGAAGCTACTCCAAAACTGAATTTGAATCCTCCGGAGAGGACATAGCAATTTGGACTGCAAAGGACACAGAAATGCATACGTGGACCAAAATCCTGAAACACAATTATGCAAAAAGCATAACTTTTGCAAGTTAATTGTCTTAAGTTAAGAAATCCCCATTGACACTATTTTCTGTGCAACAGGATTTCCAGGCATGGTATCTCCAAAAATCAACATACTTCTCCACAAGCTCTCCATATTAGGAAAAAGTCTGGATAGAGACAGGGGAAAATGTAGTTTTATGACTAACCACTTCTGCCTGTTAGCCACTCTGAATAGTTTTACTAGCAGTTCTGTTGATTTCTAGACTATATTTCTATTTATACATCCTAAAATAGCATTTGCCTTTTTTGCAGCCACTTTGCACTGCTGGCTCATATTCAGCGTGTAATATATAACAATTCTGGGATCCTTCTCACTCATAATATCACTGAGCCAAGTATCCCCCATCTTGTAACTGTGTCTTTTTTTGTTTTCCACCTTGATATAGAACTTTGCACTTATCCCTGTGAAATTTCATTCTGTTGTTTCCAGCCCAGTGCTCAAGCCTATCAAGATCTTTTCGAATTGTGTTCCTGCCTTCCACCTAATTCCACCTACCGTAATTTTGTGTCACCCACAAACTTGATTAGCATTTCCCTGCACTTCCTCAACGTCATCGATAAAAATGTTGAATCATCAAGGCCAGGACTGAGCCTTCTGGTACCCCCACTTATTACCTCCTCCCAGTTTGAGAAGGAGCCATTGATAAGAACTCTCAGAGTAAGATTCTGTAACCAACAGTGTATCCACCTGATTAGCCTGCTAATCAGAATATCATGAGGCACTTTGTCAAAAGCTTTACTGAAGTCAAGATATATCACATCCAAAGCATTCTCATTTTCAATCAAAAAATGAGATAAGATTAGTCTGTAAAATTTGTGAAAATCATCCATCACTAAAAGACATACATCTGCAGTAAAGATATACATTCTGGGTGTTTATCTTATTAATGTGGGGTGAAAAGGTCAACAAATGAATTGATAGTTCAGAGTAAAAGTGCCCAACATATATGGCATCATTCAGTTGTTCTGCATCAAGAAATATCAGATGAAAACAAGTAAAATGTGGATTGATTCATATCAATTAAAATGTGAGTTGGTTCATATGTAGAAAATCCACGTGATGAAACTTTCCAGGATTTTAGCATTTCTAGATTAACTTGATGGGTATTGTAAATTTAAGCACATAAACCTATGGAAATGAAGAATTCAGAAAAACGGATTGCAGCCATGCCTTTGGCATGCTATTTAGTACACTAAAGGGATATCTTAAGGATTTCATGAATGACCCAGGACTTGATGACACTTTTCTTACATTCATATTCAGTTGAAATTTAGGGAATGGAACTGATTTTTTGCTTGTGCACAATGTAAGAATCAAATCTACTCCAACAATATAAAAGATACTTTGAAGAAATGTAACTGAGGTCAACATTGGCTAAAAATATTGTCAAGTCATTTCTTGTATTGAAAATCACATGTTTGCAGGGTGAGATCAGCTAAATGCCAAAAGTCATACTGATATCAACAACACTTTGCATTGTGCACTTTGCATTGCAGTTGCACCCCAATGATGGAAGGAGAATCATCTGGGGAAGTAAACATTTTAGCACTCATTACTGCAGCGGTCCCCAACCTTTTTCAGTCTGCAGAATGGTTGGGGAGGGCGGGGCACCCCCAGTGCTTGTGCACACGCACAAACAAGCTTTCTCTCTCTCTTGCACGAGCGTGCCCCAGTGCAAGTGTCGCACCACCATTTGAGCATATGCACTCATGCACATGTGCAACTGGCAGTGCGGTGCTTGTCTGGATGCAGGCACACTCATCCACATGCACAAACAGTGGTGCGGCGCTCACACGGGCATGCTGGAGCACGTGCGCAGGCACAAACAGGCTGTGTGGGGTGAATGCATTTGGGGGTGGAGTGGGAGGTCTGTCTCAGCAGCCCGGTCTGGTTCAGGCCACGGACCATCACAGGGCTGTGGACCGGGGGTTGGGGACCTCTGCCTTACTGTGTTGCTTTTAAGCATGCAGTCCAACACTTTAATAGGAAACAGCTTAACTGAAATCTGATTAAATGCACATCTATAATCTATCATTACAGTGTTAACTGGATGCATTGTTCATCCCTTCAGCAGCATTTTGTGCTGGTAAAAACGCTTCACGGACCATCACAGGGCTGTGGACCGGAGGTTGGGGACCTCTGCCTTACTGTGTTGCTTTTAAGCATGCAGTCCAACACTTTAATAGGAAACAGCTTAACTGAAATCTGATTAAATGCACATCTATAATCTATCATTACAGTGTTAACTGGATGCATTGTTCATCCCTTCAGCAGCATTTTGTGCTGGTAAAAACGCTAACCCAAAAACTGAAAGCATATTCACACCTATGGAACTACAAACTTCTTTGATCCATCTAATTACTACCGTTTTGTTTAATTAGTAAACAAACATGACTTTCCCTACAATATTAATTCAGTTATTAGTATCTTTAGTATACAAACTTAGTTATTAGCATAGTGAGGGAGATGTATACTTTTGTTCAAGATTGGTAAAGTTAAGGTTTTTGAGCACAAGCAATTTCCCATAAAGAGGACAGCATTCTTTATCTATAGATACTCTCCTACAATTTTAAACCCTCTTCACATAAAATACCCTCCATATGTTGAGGGTGACAGAAGCCATGTCAGAAGGCATGAAGCTAGCCAATTTCTCCCTCTGATGTGTTTCGTAGATATAGACCCATGGTATCTGAAGCAGGCTGTCACATCAAGGAGGTGGAGCTAGGGAGCTTAACTTCTTCTGTGGTGCCATTTCCCCAAGTCCAATCTAACAATCTTCTCTATCACTATGTCTAGTTAAGAAAGGTGGGAGGATGTATACACATGCTTGTCCAAGACTGCTAAAGTTAAGATTTTTGAGTAAACCTCCACTGAACCATTTCCCAAGATCAGATGTTTCTAAGCATGTATACCAAGAGTGGGAATTCTGCCACTTGTGGGCCAACTGTGAGAGCCTCCCCATTGCAGAATGAGAAAGAGAGAGAAAGAAGAATTTTAACCATAAAACAGAAAACTACTTCACCAGAAGCCTCCAGATACTCCATTTAAAGACAACAGGGGTTACTCACCTTCTTCAGGCCCAAAAAGCTTTTTTTTCCCCAAAGACAGACATGAATTTCCAGTCACAGCTGGCTTTGAGAAAAGTGGATGAACATGGCCTTCATAGATTAAAGGGTAGAAAATGGCATAGCATGGCTACTGACCACTCAGTAGTCATGCTGCCCTGACAAACATCACAGAAATCATCTGTTACACTAGCTGTTAACAGAATATGAGAATCCATGATAACCATGTGCAAACAGCAAATGAAAGATAATGAACGCCAAACACTAACATATGCAGCCTTGTATCAAAGCATTTCTCACATAATAATACTCTTTCATTATATGTGTAAATAACATCATAATTCATATGACTGTGTTAATGTAAGGACCTAAAGAAACAGTGTGTGTTTAGTTGTTTAGTTGTGCCCGACTCTGCTTTTTAAGATGCTGTCAAGAAACAGAATCCTCCTTTATTTGGCCTAAGTATAATTCCCAAGTATATTTCCCATTCTTCACAAAGCTTTGTCAACAGAGATTTCACATGTTTAAAAGATAAGAAATGGACAGTGTTTTCTGCCACAGGACAACGCAGACCCCTGAACATTTTGTCTTCTCTTGCCAAATTCTCCAAGAAATGCATGAACAAATTGACTGCTCCCATATACTGTACATGTATTAGTCTCCCATGTATTAGTCTTCATGAATACTATTAAATTTAAAAAATGATGTAAACATTATACAAGGGAGAGCACTTTAAGAATACAAACAGCCATGGTGAAGCTAAAAGAACAAAAAAAAACTGTATACCTATATTTGACACTTGGAATGCATCCAACATAGAATGTGTATGCCAGACCTCCTTTCTTTAAAAGAGAGAGAGAGAGAGAGAGAACATTGCTACAAACTACTTATTAAGAATAATGAGTGCTTATCCTTTTCGCTATAAATCTTGCAGTAAATTATGACAGTGAGATGTCACGTGAGAGAGAACACCTTTCTATTTTGTACAAGAATATTATATATGTTTTCTCTCTCTTATATATATATACTGTATATATAAGTCCCTCGGTTTTATACTCCAGTGGTTGATGAGCAAGTGACATTATCACCATCCTGTAAATCTGTCTATATCAAGTGTGCCAAGACATTGGAATGTGCTGCTTGCTACTTCCAAACCCCAGAGCTTGGAAATAACACATAA